AGTGGCATTCACAGTCACTCAGAAACCTCTGGTGGGGGGGAGTACCAGTGATGACCTTAGAGGTGAATAACCTCTTTGTACATTTTGTGAGAGGCACACTTCACTATAGCAATTTAAGTGTTCTCTTACGGTGAAAGGGTCTTCATTGATCAAATAAAAGATTGGCTTTGGTATTTATTTGAAAAACATTTTTTGCGGGTTATTTCATGAGAAATACTTTTCTGAAGCAGCAGAGTGCAGTAAACTTTAAACAAATGCATCTTGTGATTTATAACTGTATTAAATGTTAGTCTTTTTGGTTTCGGAAAATAATGATTTCTCAAATTTTTACTTTTTTTGTTGTAATAAACAGTTATAAATCCATTCTTATTATTATTCGATTGGGCAGCCATGTAATACATTACCATATTTTACAGACTATAAGACTCACTTTGCTCTTCGAAAAATTGCCTCCAAAATTCAGGTGCATCTTACACTCGAAATTAATATAAAAATGGTAAAAATGTTATTAAAAAAAAAAAAATTGATAAAAATGAAGGTGTGTCTTATAGTCAGTTGCGTCTTATAGTCCGTAAAATACCGTAATTTAAATTTACACTATGCAACTGATCTTTCTTCACCAACAAATGCTTTCAATATGGCACTATATTTAAATTGTATTAATATTTTCAGAAACAGGTATCATAATAGGTTGTGTCTTGGCGTCTATTGTGACAGTCATTGCTTTGGTAGTTGCCATCGTCATGGTCATCAGGAGATTGCTTCAGTAAGTCACCGGTTCATTTTTGACTTCAGTAAATCAATGGCCAAATATTGACTTCAGTAAGTCACTGGTTAAATATTGACTTTAGTAAATCACTGGCCAAATATTGACTTCAGTAAATCACTGGTTACATATGGCCACACTCATGGATGCACTCAACATTAAAAACATAAAGAGCAGCTGAGTAAATTAAATGAATCAAATGAGATTCATTGTTGTGATTGGTTGGAGGACAAACCATATATGAGATTCATTGTTGGGATTGGTTGGAGGACAAACCATATATGAGATTCATTGTTGTGATTGGTTGGAGGACAAACCATATATGAGATTTATTATTGTGATTGGTTGGAGGACAAACCATATATGAGATTCATTGTTGTGATTGGTTGGAGGACAAACCATATATGAGATTCATAGTTGTGATTGGTTGGAGGGCAAACCATATATGAGATTCATTGTTGTGATTGGTTGGAGGAGATTTGAAACAGTTTTATGTTTTATCAGTTTATGAGGAATCATATATGATAAATCCAGTTGTGTCAATCAGACTGCATAAACAAATTGGCACTTTAATTGGGCAAAGCTAATTCTTAACTGTGAAATTGAGGAAACTTAATATAATAGATTTGTTTATTTCATCTATTGTTAACACTTAAATTCTTCCTTTATTTAATTACAAAGTACAATATGTGAAGCTAAGAAAGTAATAATAGTGAAATATTCTCTATAACTATTAAAGGTACATTGATTGATAATTGCTTAAAGTTCCATATTGTCTTCTCTTACAGTAAAGACGATCCAGTTGCTGCTCAAGAAGCCCCAAAAAATCCCAGCTGTATGGACTCGACATGCATCCACTTAGACAGTGTCCCTTGCTTTAAACCTGGTTCCCCTGATGAGCTAGATGGTCAAATTACGAGATCAACCAAAAAGACATCTTCCATCAGAACATCTAAGAGAAAAATCAAAACCCGCATGGCTCCAGTTGGTGAGGAAAGTGTCGATGGTCAGGTTTTGCCTCAATCTGAGGACTTGGTGTTGCAGAAGTCAGCACAAAATGACAATTCCTTGAAACAACTCTCAATAGAGAAAAATAATTCAACCCATTCAACAAACGCTCATCAGGGAGAATTTCCCACAATCTCTACATTAGACCCTAATCGAAACCTTGGCATCTACCAGAACCATGACAGCATCAGATTAAAAATGGGGGATGTTGGAAATAACAATGAAGAACACAAGCTCAATGAGAACACCACCAGAAAGATTTCGAAACCCAAACGTTCGTTCAAAGACTCTGACAAACGGTCGCCAGTGGCTCTGCAAAAATCAGCATCTACTGGCAATAAAACTTCTGATGGACTGAGACCCACTGTATTGGATGCTGTGGCTATACCCAACACAGAACGAGGGACTGCATGTTAGAAGTGGCATGTACATTTAATGTAATAACGGCCTTGTATAATACTCGTTATTGTTCAGTGTAATTATTTTGTTTGATCCAACGTGGTTTTGTAAATGTAAGTGAATAATGATGATGATTATTTGGAAACTTACAAAATGAACATTTCAATTTTTTAAGTAATTTAATTTTAACATTTCCAGCATGACGAATGAGAACATATTTGCTCACAATGTAAATAACAATTTATTATTTACATCCTAATTGTAATTTTTAATGACATTTTTTTAATGCATACCCAGCTAAAAATGAGATTTTAATCTCATTATTGGCCAGAAGATGTACTTTGGGTTAATTCTTTAAAATATGTTAATGCTTCATTAAGTCACCTGGTATTCTTATTCACTATACCATTTTGATAGTGATAGTATTGTTCATTACAAGTTATAAGGCCAATTGAGAATTAAACTTGTATTATTGAATTGTATCCTTTGAGACTATCAAATACTTGGGACTATTACCACTCCAATCACAAGTTACAAAAACATAATGTTGTTTCTAAAGAAAATAAAGCTTCATTAATGTCTGTATGCAAGATAACTTGCATATGTCACGTCATTTTTTCCAGATTCACTATAGCAGATGAGTTTCAAAATATTCACTCTTTTTAAAAAAAAAGAAAAGAAAACCATAAGCATATGTCCAATGAAATAAAAAAAAAAAGCTTTACTTTTTCATTTGTAAAATTTTTATTTCAAATTGATCAGTTATAAATTACAAATTTGACGGAGTTCAATAAATAGCATTAACAATTCAATAAGCCCAAGGATAGAAATCAACATATTTTTAAAAACTTTTAATGCAATACTTTATTTTCACCCTAAACTACATAAGATCAATAAATATATAATATAATTTGCCTGATAGACTATAATTTACTTGATGTTTAAAATGGAAAAAATGTTTGAAATAACCTTGTTGACTTTTTCTTTTTTTTTTTTGGACATGATGGGAATGATGCCAAATCTAAATTTCTGCACAATCATCTCTTGACTCTCACACCTTTGCAGCATAATACAAATGTTCATCACTATTTTTTGTTTGTTGTTTCTTCATCAAGTAAATGTGTTCCTTAAAATTGAGACTTATCATTATACTTAAATTAATAATGTACATTTACAGCTCAGCAGCCTTCAAGTTCAAGAGATCATCATCCACATAAAACATTTGATTAACCGGTAGTTTTTAATATTTTGCATTAGTAATTAGCATAAATATTCAACGTTTGGATCCAGTGACCATCGGAGCATGTGCACCTCAAGAAAAACTATTAAAGACAGTGACTTTACAGAGCTATAGATTTTAGAACCGACAATTTTTTTACAAGTCAGTCAGCATGCACACACAGCCATATCTACTTCTTTTTTTTTTTTTTGAAGTACAAATATTTGTTAGTTAATACATTTCTTGGTTGACAAACATGCTGAATAAACATAGATTAATAAGACACGAACAATTTGTGTCAATATAACAATATAAGTTAAGCTTTAATAATAATTTTACATAATAAACAAGTGAACGTTTCGGCAAAATCCTTCATAAGTACAACAAAAAAACAAATTAGTATAAATTAAATTTATATTGTATATATATACATATATCCTACCTAAAAAAGGGGGAGAAAAATAGGATTGGGCGGAATAAAAACAGACAGAAAGAAAGTAAAGAAGAATGGAAAGGAAGTGACTTAGAATAAAATGGAAAAAACCAAACAGGAAAAAGACATGGCAGTTAAGTAATTTATACTTATTTAGTTGTTTTTTTGTTGTACTAATGAAGGCATCTGCCGAAACGTATCGCAGTCCAACACTTTTTATAATTTGTTTAATAAACATAAAAATATAAAAAGTGATCATTAATTTGTACTGATACTTAGGATTAACCTTGGCATATTCACATTTCATTTTGAAAGTCATATTAACATGCTATGCAAGGCGATTTTTCTGGAGCTGCGAAGGATTAGTCACATCAGGCCCTTCCCAACAAATGATACAACAAAGAGGCTGATGTCTGCATTTGTTCTATCACGCATGGACTATTGCAATGCTCTCATGGTGGGTCTTCCAGCTACGTTCCTGGATAAAATTCAAATAGCACAGAATAATGCGGCTCGCATAGTTCTCCGCAAACGCAAATTCGACCATGCAAAAACACTTCTGAGAGAGTTGCATTGGCTGCCGGTGCGTGCTCGCATAGAGTACAAAATCGCAACTTTGTGCTACCGCTGCTTACATGACCTGGCGCCGTCCTAACTGAAAGAGCGGCTGACGCCTTATGTACCCACTAGAGAGCTCCGCTCATCCGATAGTGGCAAACTCTCGACACCACGTGTTTGCCTTGAGACTTACGGAAAGCGCACTTTTGCATTTGCTGGTCCAACAATTTGGAACGCCCTTCCAGTCGATCTCAGAAACAACCAGACACTGGAGTCCTTTAAAACCGATCTAAAGACACATCTATTTCGCAAATACCTTCTGGGATGATTGTCTACCTTATTTTCCAGTTGATGCATAATGGCTGTGTTGCTCCGGGTTGAAATGGCTAGAAAGACTTTGAGATTGTATGCTTGTAATTAGTTTTTGTAGTGTTGCGTTTGTTTTAAATGTGGTAATTATATATATGTTTTTTGTTGACTTTGTACCGCGCTTCGAGCCTTTGGGGATGAAGCGTGTTTTTGAAATGAACTTTATTATTATTATTATTATTTAGTCAGATTTTGGCAATATCAACATTTTAAAAAAGTTTTGATTTTTAACAATGACATTAAAATAAAACTTGAAACAAAAGATAGTAAAAAACTATCATTGAGTTTAAGTTGAATTCTTTATAGTTAGATTTTCAGTAATATATCACAGTATTCAAAGAACAATTTTAGACACACATGCAAATCAAACGCAGCATATTAATAAATTATGGTACCCCAGATGTAGTATAGGCAAAAATAATTCTATACAGATAAACTGATTTTGAAATTATAACTCCATTTTAGTAGAGTTATATATGAAAATAAATTATAAATAGCACAAATATTTTACTTTATATTTGTACATTTAAAAAAAATCATCCTATTCTGGATAAATAATGTCTGAATTAGCCTCAGATGATTTTAAAAATGCGCATTAATCTTATCTTGCTAAGTTCACTATAATTTAGGTGTAACCAGCACATGAACAGCCTGGACTAGGGTCTTGGCTTGTGGCCCATGAGCATAAAAACTGGCCAGGTAACAGTGATGGGGGTATCAGAGTTTGTCATTGCACAGCAGGAGTTCAACCTGTATCGTAAAAGTAAGAGAGAAATCATGAAAAACCACCCAGAAAGATTATTAAAAAAAAAGACCCTTTTAACATCCAAACAAAACGAGACAAATTTGAAGCCATCCAACTTTATTGTTTATATAAAACTTATAAGAAGTCAAGATGAAGGTGGTTATTAAACATTTAAACATTCTATTTTATAAACTTATACAAGGACGAGAAAACACCAAATGGTTATGTTATCTGCTTCTTGGCCAACAGACAGCAGGTTCGGTTTGACTCCACTGCTATGTGTAAAATAGCCAGGTGAAATGGACTTGCTAGCCCATTAAGGTAGTAAAAAGCTTTTCTTTGGGAGGAAAGAAAACCCTGAATATCAAAACTACTGAACGACTTCTCAGCTACTCAGGGGACAGCATCCAACTTGTGGTGGGGTTCAAAAAGGGGCTGTCTTCACAGAAATACCTGTAGCCATTCACTACAATACCATCTGCTGCTTGAGTAAATCAGGAATTTTAAAAAAATTATTAAAAAAACAAAACATGACAGAATGGTAGTGTAATAAGATATGAGACTTTTACTTGTGTTGGACTTGGTCCAAGATGTCTCCTGAGTTTGTCTTGTTGTAATTGTTGATGGCAGACCATGATCCCATGTAGCCAATAAAATCTGACACACTGCATTTCTTAACAATATTTAGGCTGTCATCCCTAAAGTTGGAAATATTCACAAGTTTACATCAAGCTGCTAACATTAAAATAAAGAGTTTGAAATATAGGCTGAGAACAGTTTATACACTTAACTTAAATTATCATAATTCAGACCCAGCCAGTTACTAATGTGTTTTTTTACTGGTTTCTGAATTGTCTAGGTTCTTACAGTGATGTTTCAATCAGAAAACTGCATAAAGGAATGATGTTTCAAAAGCCATCAACATTTCAATAAAGAAAAAAAAAAAGAGATGTAGTCAATACATTGACAAAATACTTTGTTAAGAATGAGCACTGGCAAACTCTGAAATTCTTTCCCCAATAAATTGACCACTGAACTTTTGTGATCAAGAAGTAAGTTTTCAAGGTGTTATAACTGTAATAAATAACTTTAGGATGATATTCACCTTATCCACCCAGGGTATGGTAAATCAATAGATGCATACTTTTCCTCAACCATTTTTCTACCTTCTGCCCAGAAACTTGGTAAAACTTCATGGTAGATCTGAAAACCACATTTTCTTATTTTTAAATTTTAGATAGAATAACAAACGGCATGCCTTGTAGGTCTATTGAAAAAAACAACTTTATTTTTTATAGAGATACAATTAGAATCCTGAATAAATTTCATGTTTAGAGTAAATATATAAATCTCCCATTTTGATACATGTATAAATCTCACCTTTGCAATCCTTGTAAAAATCATCTCTTTCAAATTCATGTATAAATTTCCCCCTTTGAATCTTTAATTTAGTGCTTATTTATTTTTTGCCACAAGCACAAGTGAAGTTACTGAGCTAATTGCAATTAAATGAAATGTTTTAGTTCCTTAAGCCACTGATATTAGGTTAACAGCTAATCTGTAAAAAACTACTACTGAACTCAAAGTGGTGATGAATGCAACTAGATCCACCTAAAACTTCCTTGGGTTTATTAGTGATGCTCACATGAGAGAAGATGTGTTCAGCTTCCTCTGGTTTTAAACTACAAATACCATATCCATAGGCAATTAGAGAACCACCAGGCTTTAAAATTCTGTCAACTTCTGCATAAAATCTGAGGATTTAAAGATGACTTTGCAAACAAGTAAAAACTGCATCAAAGGCAAAAATATTCAAAGAATAAGTTAAAAGTTGGAAAATTAAAAAAAAATCTTTCCAACTTCAAAGTATGTATAAATGTTGCTGTGTTGAACTGTCACCAAAATGGTTTGGAGGGACTGTGAACACTGATTTGATATTTAACAAATGAACTGAGAAATTAATCTCTTATTTTAAGTTTATGGCTCGTTCTAAACAGTGCATAATAAAAGACGATACCATATGGGAAATACAATAGCAAAAGAATACGACACTCAAAAGAGTGCTAACTAAAATTTTTTTTTTTTATTAAGTTACTAATAAATTACAAAATAAAGAAATATAATTAAAATCATTAACTTACAGAGTATTGTGTTTCTTGTACCGGTACAAAAGTTGATGAAAATTACAATGTGCCAAAATAAAGGTACAATAATAAATGTGAATTCACACATATAAGTGAACGCAGTTCTATCAAGAATACCACACTCTAAAATAACTCTCGCCTGTCATCCCGTATAGTAAAAATAAATGCTAGCCTCAGCTGTCTTTCAATTCCCTGGCTTTATATACCGGTATGGCCTGTTTCTTAGATTTCTCTAGAAGGATTATGCATTGTAATCATCTCTCACATGTTCCACATAATTCTACAAGGTTCTAAGAATAAACAGACTATTGATTTTATTTAGTTGATAGTAAACAAAGCCAAGAGACTATTCTTAGCTAGCCACACCTTAAAGGTGGTAGATTGTTTGGTGTCTGCTTGATTACATGACGTTAACACATGGTCTACATAACAATATGTAATGAAAGGTCTCAAAATTACTACAAAAATACCCTCACACACGCAAAAAACACAAAAAATAATGAAGCCAAATAATACCTCACTTTTTTAGATCCAACCAATGCAGAGCTTGGGCTATTGTGACTAGATCTACAGAAGATGACCGAATGAAGCTTAGCTCTTCAGCAGGTGAAATGTGAAAAGTTATATTCTGAACATCCCTTGGAGCATTAGCTAGTTGCTGTTCGCTGACATCAACACCTATCACCTAAGAAAATATTGACAAAAGTAAGTTACACCCAGGCAAGACACAGGGCTTATCTCAAGTTGAAATAAAAAATCCAATTTCCTGGTTCAGAGTAAGTTCTTCTTCTTCTTCTATATATTAAGGGCCCATGATCAATGTATTGATCATTCTAGCTCCTAAGTAAATAATAATAATTCAGTGCAAAAAAAGTAGTATAGAACTGACTTGTTTAAAATGTTTGGCCAAGGGGAGAGTACTTTGTCCCGAACCACAGCCTACATCTACAGCAAGCTGGAAATCACAATGTTCTTCTTGATAAAAGTCAATAAATCTTTTGAATATGTCATCTGTGTAGCTTGGACGAAACTTTGCATAGAGCTGAGTTTGAATTTTATCCGTAAATAAATTTGTTGTACAATACTGAAACATTGTAAAAAATTGAAACCGATTTGTGAAATGTTTGCGTGCACAGAAGATTGCACACACTGATTTATGGCTAATACTATGAAGCATATTAGACGAGTAGCATTATCAAGGTCGTATGTCATAAAATATCTTGTAACAGTGCATTGACATCAGATAGAAATCCTAATCACAAGCCTTGAGTTGCATTCAGACTGTAAATACAATGATAAGAAAAGTCAGTTAAAACATTCACCATTTACAATACAATGAGACACAATACTTGTTTCCATCTAATTAAGATGCTCTATAAATTTAACTGAGCAGTTGACTTAAAGTGGAAATTAGTATTCATAGAGATTAGATAATTTAAGTTATTACACAATTTAAGATACAATTATATAAAGACATTTAATCTTCCAACTATATCTTATAGTAACTTTTTCTTATACATTAAAAATATCAATATTTATAGGCCTAAGTTCTTGTTATCTAGATTTTTTACTAACTGAAAATTCATGACATTGCATAAGAAGGGGCTTAATACTTGACATAAAAAATTTGAATGATAAGTAGGCCTATATGCTTATGGATCAAAGTTATGTTTTGCATTGATTATTTCGTTATTACTAAAAATTTACAGATATCAGTAGGCAAGGAGGAATCTGGAAAAACTAATTTAAGAAATTGGTTTATCCAAACTGAAACGTAGACTTACTAGGACACACGAAAATAGATTTGTAATAGTAATAGTTCGGTTAAAAAAATTAAAGGTGGGATGCAATTTTAATAAATATATAAAATATATAAATATATCAATAATTATAATAATATCAGTTCCTTAGTATATTTATAATATACCTAAGCCTACTAATAGTTCCGGATTACAATGGATCATTCAGCTTCGTATTTTCGTTATTTGTTTTTGACAACCTTGATATTGGTAACAATGGTGAATGGAGCCGCGATGAATAATTTGGGCCAGGGCAATTAACTATTAAGGCCGGCACTACGTACACCGCGGCGGTGTACCTAGTGAAACTAATGACTTTTGCCTGCGTACACCGCGGCGGTGTACCTAGCTAAATCATGGTCTGTGGCCTGCGTACACCGCAGCGATTTAAAGTAGCAAAACTATGGTCTTTGCGAGTCTTTAACTTTTTGGCCTAACCGGTACTTGTAGATTTAATGTTATACTCGTGTTAAAACTGAAAACTATTTAAAATTCGTTTATTACCTTGGGAAGATATTGAGTAAGTTCCACGCTTATGTGGCAAAGTGCATGTAAAGCATTTCTTATTATTTTTGGAAGGGAGGGGGCTGAGGGTGTAATGTTAAACCATGTTTTATTTTTAAATTTAACCACTTTATTCCCCCCTCCCCCAATATATTGAAATACAAATATATTTATTAATTGTAAGTTTTATCATATGATTGTGAATCTTAATTTGAAATTATTCTCTCATGCCCCCCCCCCCCAACCCAGTTGTTTTTTTTTGGGGGGGGGCATTATAAATATAACATTAAATGTGATCCCTCGGGGCGTGGTGTAAAAATGAATGGGAAGACTGTGAATCTATTTTGTTAGCACCAAGATATAATTACGCCACAAATAGGTCTACACCACGGGAAGAGAATCACATGCTCATACATTGATCATGAAGTCGTGAAGTTGTCCGAGGCATTGTCATTGTGATACCTAGCATGTGTCAACACAAAACAACAGTATGATGATAAATACGAAACACTGCAGTGATTTTTAAAAGTCTTTTAACAATAATTAAATATCATTGATTTAGTTTTACATTGGCATTACACATTAGTAAAAAATGCTGGCAGAGGGAGGGGGGATGCAAAAGGTAAGTTTGTTGTGCGGACGTCCTTTGGGGACAACCCCTATCCTGAGCCGTGATTTGTGAATGCCCCCTTTTTGGTTAAGTCTCTGCCCACAACTTATCACCACCCCCCATCCCCCAGCAAGGATCGATTTCTTAACAAAAAAAAACAACAAAAACAAATACAAAAACTTTGACATAGTGCAAATCCTGTCCCAAGCCCATTGTGCAATGGTTTCTGTGAGAAAACGTCGTGTTTTACCCTGAGAATAGCACATGCCATGCCATTCTGGAAACAAAGTCCGTCATGAAAAGGGTAAACACAGACCTATGGCTTTGCTTTACAGTTTGCTAGCGCTCCACAAGTTTCTAAAATCGAGGTGTTTTCAAAAGATTTGCTGTGAGACTGAGTGTTGTGAATGAACCTTTGATATCGTGTGTACATTTTGCCAATGCATAAGGCATAGTGAAAGCAAGATGGTTCAAGGTTGAAATACGACCATGTACATTAATATTCATATGGTATGAATATTATTCATACTGGTATTTTCTTTGGGTGTTCGTAAAAGTAAAATGTAAATATTCAACTACACGAAGAATGTTAAAATACAATAGAATAACAGTTACTTAGTATTCATAATGTTTCTCTTATACATGTTACATTGACATACACTATACATGATCAGCATGTATTACATGCGCTTTCAGAAACTTTAAGTTTGTTTTCAAATGTCTAAAGTCTTATTAATAAATTTACCGGTATTTTCAAAGTCAAAGGCCGCACAACTTGTTGAAACACGTATATATATATATATAATTATATAAAGTGTAATATAAATAAATATATAAAGTGTATTTAATATAATATTTAAACATATATTTAAATTGTTTAAATTGCTACAAAATATTTTAAACTAAAATGGGAGGAAAAAAAACTCGATCCCCTACTGAGATTTGATCTCAAACCATATTATCGCCAAGCGTCCACTCTACTACTTGACCACACAAGATTTTCTCTAACAAGCATATCTTAAAACCAGGCCAATGGTACATTTTTGCCGCGGTGTACCCAGGCCAAAGCCCACGCTTTCACTAGGTACACCGCCGCGGTTTACGCAGGCCAAAGCCGATGGTTTCGCTAGGTACACCGCAGCGGTGTACGCATCCACTTCG